TACCACTCAATTACCTCTCTATTCAATAAGACGAGACAGCATTACCTTGGGCTAATCATGTAAAACAATAAATGTCAACTGCAGCCAGGAATATGCAACCTTAACGCCGCCTTCAGGTTGTTCTCTCTCTCGGTCACAATCAACCCTCTCTTCCATCAGTTCTATCCCAGTATGACTACACCCCAGTATGACTACATCCCAACTTGACTATGGTAGAAATACATAGAGGACATTATATTAGTGTCCATGTCATACTATGTTTACGACACTCGTGCCGAAATGTTGGTATTTCCTGAGCGAGAGCAAGGGAAATACCAACATTTCGGCACGAGTGTCGTAAACATAGTATGACATGGACACGAATATGATATTCTGTTTATTACAGTAGAAATATGTATCACTTAAACACAAAACGAAGTGTCTGCTTATATATAATGCCGCATCATCTGAAAATAAAGGCGGAAGAAAATATCAACGTAATTCGGCGAATACCTTAGCACCACTTACCGACATTTACCGTACGCGCATATGAAACAAGTGCACATTTTCATCGACAGTTATTTGTCAACCTTGATTTTAAATAATAACGTAAGAATATATATCAGTTGTACGTATGTAATTCACAACGTTTAAACACGAAGTTTGTTTGAAATAGCAACTTTAGAACGTGGAGCAAAGTCAACACAAGAATGATTATGTCACGTCACTGGTGGAACACATTGCTGCTTCACACCATCAGACTGCCAGGCACAAGTGAACGAGTGACAGTCTCGGGGAGCACTTGAAGGCAGTGTCTTTGAACTTGTTTCACACCCTCTGTTTCTGTTCCAACATTATACACATGTGATGTCCCAAGTAGTTGGATAACACTTTCTACTATTCCATCTAGTCTGCCATCAATCGTGACAAGATCACTGACTCTGATTGACTGCAGAAAAACCGATAGGGCAGCCATATTGTTTGTTTATCTTGTCGCCTGCAGGTTAATCAATCGATGTAACAAGTATGTAAGTAAAAAATGTAAAGAATTGTAATAGGTTTAGGTTTAGGTTTTATTGGAAAATATACTCAACTGAACAACATTGTTTTAATAACAATAATATGGCAAGCGGAGTTCGAGTTGAGGTTATCTCCGAAATGCCAACCTGTGAATGAACGTAGTACTGACTGACTGACTGAATGAGTTTAGTTTTATGCCGCTTTTAGCAATATTCCAGCAATATCACGGCAGGGGACGAATGAACGTAGTAAAGCATAGTAAAATTTCATGAATGAAAAAAGTAGTTCCCTTAGAAATCAAGGCTTGACATGGAACACCTCCTCATAAAGTGATATTTTGCCCTAGGGCATCATATGAAAAATATGAACCCCGATATGTTTGCCCTCGTAGGTAATAAACATCCTCATTAGGTACCCTATGCCATAATGGACTAGCCCAACTAGTGACTATTTGGCTTCATGTCTGCATTGAGCATGTTGAGTAGCCATATGTTTATACTAGAATCACGATAATCTTATGGCAGAAAAGTTATGTGGGTGATGATCCTTCTAAGTATCAATTAACGTATTATTGGGTAAACATACTTTCATTTATAAAACTAATGCCTACAAACAGTAAATGAGTAGTAGTGCGGAGAAGATAAGTGTCTCAGCTTCACAATTTTATTTAAAAGATAGAAATAGAAATTTCCTGGCACAACTATGGCCAATGTTTAGAGAGCAGAGTTTGTGTTATCTCAGAGAGGAATGACACAAATAATTAATTAAAGTAATGTACAGATAATTTAGATCAGATACTTTAATTTACAAATATATATATACATGTGTAATTAAGTTGTATAGTTTAAGCATGGATGGTGCAAATAGAGAGCACAGTCAAGTCTCGTTAATCCGACTCCCGTTTATCCGACAATCGGCTTTATCCGACACTTTTGTTGGTAACAAATTGAATAAACGTAATTTAGTCTTTTTAATCCAACAGTCCCGCGTTCCGACTCTGACAGCCCCAATTACAACTGACTGTCATAATCACTTAGTAATTAGTCCCATTAATCCGACATTGAGTTTAGCAACGCGTATGATCAATTACCCGTGAATACCCCCAAGATGTTATGATACTTGAGGAGCAATGAGGACAAATTCTGCCATCTGATGAACATCGTATAGCTGATGCAAAACATGAAGTCAAGTCTATTTATAGCTTGCTGAGGGAGCAGCTTTTTTTCGTTTTATTGTTAAGACCCATGTTTAAATGCAAGTATTGATGTCTATTGAAACTAGAAATTGGTTTTGTAAACAATGAATACTACTTAAGAATATTAACATGTGATGGAAACAAGCAGTTTGATTGGCTGACAAGACTGTCAACAAAATGCCTGCTTCCTCATACATGTTTGCTTCAAGAAAACATTTTGCATTTGTGAAATGCTTATTTCATGTCAAATTCACGAACAAGGTTGAAAACAGATATATTTATTGATATTTGTTACATTTACTCTAAGATCTATAGCTGTTCTCTTCTGACTTCTGCATCGAAGCTGACATGCAGATCTAGAGTCGTTTAGCTGTAAAAGGTGTGATCTAACTGCAATAATCAATTATGGTTTAAGAGGTCGATTCCCAACACTAATTACACACACACTTAATATGAATCATGATTCTCCTGTTTTTGACCATGAACGTGATCTGTACTCAGAATTCGATAATCCGACATCCTCGTTAATCCGACAATTTGCTGTGCAACGGACGATGTTGGATTAATGAGACTTGACTGTATGTGTTTGTCATATTCAGTCATGTGTTTCATGGTGCACTAAGTCCAGTGCTATGGTACTACTACAATTATTCTGTGTATGTTATTCTACTGTTATATTTTACATCTTGTTTTGAAAGAAGATAATAAATAAGCAGATAAAATATACGTTCAATTCCTTTTATGTTCAAGACATAATGCAAAACTACCACTGTCATAATGGCAAGACCTCCAAGCGTCTAGGGCTGTTGCAAGTGTCACAGGGAAGGGGTGACAGCTAGAAGTTGGAAATCACTCAACCATTCAAGTTGTGTATTGGAGGAGTAGTCCTACTGGGGCATAGGCAGATTGGGAAGACACCTTTCCATCACACACTAAAGACATGGCAGGGCCATGTGCAAAATACGCATCATGCACGTAATATCTCCAAATCATCATCATCATCATATTGTACCTGAACTAATGATTCATCTCTGAATATACATAATTTTTATAGTAACAAATAATCCCATTTAAATTGAAAAGGAGCCCCAGTGAGATGGGCAATTCAGAGCTCATGAAACTGAGGAAATCTAGACGTGCTTCATTTAGGGCTTTAGAATAGCAGGTAGGGCAAGGCCTACCTGACAAAGATACCCCATCTCTCACTCGCCTCTGATTATTTAGAAAACGCCAGCAGTTATAAATACAATGAGAAGTAAATCTACAATTGTTGCATAAGCAATCCACCCAAACTGAAACCTTTGTACAACTGATGCCATATCATTAAATGTTTCACTATATACCTTTGTCATGAACCAATAATTAGAAACAAACACTCTATCACCTATTAAGGACCATGTTTGTTTGTTTACACATTTGTACATTTATTTATATGACAATCTGGAGTGCATTATATAATGTATGTCTGTCTGCAGTTTTTGTAACATATCATCTCCAAATTTCATGAAATATACTGTCAGCCTGAGATAGTGTGATCGCTCAACAACGCTACATGTAATCCTTTAACATGATTTGAACATAATTCAAGAAGCGGCACTGATAATGTGACACTTGATGTTCAATCCATTATACATTTACAAAACATCTATAGTACTTTAGAATTATCAGCAATTCCCCTCTGTAAAACATCAGAAAGGTTAACTTTCAGTAGATACATGAAATGTGAACTTGAGGCATAAAAGGCAGGTGCCTACACTTACATTTTCTTAAACATTTGTTCAGTGACTGGATATCAGAATACTTTTGAGAATAAACCTCACAATATGTGCAACGAGAGACATTTCAGTGTGAACAAAGAGTCATTCAAGAGTTTCCTAATTTGAAAAAGAAACACCTTGACTTCATTTGAAACAAAGATTTCAGAGTTTCGAATGAAGACCCATGAGCATAAAACTCTTCTGATGCTCTCTCATCATCATGATCATATCGCCATCTAGCCACATATTTGTACACCAAACTTGATTATATAGATTTGTTTTTAACATTTGAATGATCGCACAAATGCCAAAAACAGCTTGCATGTGATGCAGTGATTGCACATTACTGACTGATATGTAAACTACTCTACAAGAAATATACAGGGACAACATTTGTGTCCATAAATAGCAAACTTATGTATCCTGCAATCTATAAAATATAAATGTTCTGGAGATGTACTTTGGTGAGCAGATGGGGCACGCAACACATTAAAGGTATTCAGTTTGATGCCATGGTTTTATTATTATTCTTTTTAAACCTTAATTTTGTTCAGCATGCACATTGGCAATGCAGATAGTACTATTGGTAGGATGAAAGTTTGTGTTCATCAGCTGGCTGGTACTGCGAAAAAGTATTGATGTGCCGTGATCAAAAGGTGGTTTTATGAGACAGCTAAACGCGGCATGTAAACCGTTCTGAGGAGGACAATGTGAATGTGACACTCATGTTTGACAGATAGGGTAAGATGCATCAGCTGGAACCATCGCCTGTCAGGCTGGGTGGCTCCACTCTCAATTCCGAACATCGAACCATTTCAAGCCAGCGTGTAATCAAAACCACGGTGTTGAATCAACCAGTTTTGTCGCAATACTGATATACATGTGTAATGTTTCATATACATCATGAGAGAAAAAAATCGTTATGAAACGAATCCTTCTGCCTCGAATGGCGTTTATGCGACCTCCATCTACGGCCGACTCGTGCCAGTGTCACCACCCCGATTGCACCCCTCCCACAGTCGCCGTGCGGCCAACCATACGAAACTTACCGTCACACCATCGCCAGTCACTGAAGCGTGGAAGCACCGCAGCAGCATTCACATAATGTACATTTCAACAAGGTCGGAAGTGATTCCGTGACTGCACGTGGAGACTCGAATGGACGAGAATGTCAAGTCCTATTTGTTGTGGAAAGTGGTTATAAATAAATGTCTCAAACACGTCGTCTCTACATTATACGTAAATCAAACCAATCACGTTATCTACATCGGTGTAATTCCTGTCACCGGGGCCGTTAGTAGCTGCTAAGAATAAGTTCTATCAACTTCGGAGTTGAGGAAAGGGTTTGTCTCCCTTCGACTAAAATGGGACCCACCAATCGATAATGCCTGAAAAATATTTGTCCAAAAGTTTCAGGAGCAAATCTGTTCTTACTTGGATACAGGAAACTAATGCCTTTTGCAAGCATAGCAAAACAAAACAACCACGTTTTCGTACATCTAAAATAAATGAATATAAAGCTGTGACATGCCGGAACCACCGCGGCTCAGTCAAAGTAACTGAGATTGTGCATCGAATTTCACGAAGTGCAAACTCCCTCGTCACCTAACCCGGAAATGACGTTTACCCATGGTGGATTGGTGGATTTGCTGGCTTTGTTAGTGATGATATGTATGCATATTTTATGTCAACACACGTGGTAAAAACTTTTGACATTTAAATAGATGTATTTTCATTTGTGTAAATGTATTTATGTCTTTATCATCTTTCACGCAAGGACTGTGCTGACGAAACAAGTAGTTTCTGCAATAGCATGCATTGTCAACTGTTGAAGTAACATTTTGACAGTGACAGATAATGTTTGAGTACTTTGACAGCAAATGCATAGACTATATTATCTCTGCATACACTTTGACCACTGGTCAGTATATACTTATTTAAATTGCTGTACGGTTTTGATTCCTTTACAAAAGCTGCATTATTATGGATGTGCAGTCGTGAGCCAGTAGAAACATGTTGAACAATGTATAACAATGTATCATTAGCTGTGGTATAAATTCATTTATTAAGCTGTAATTTATAGTGTGTTATGCAAGTGTTATGTATGCTACATTAATATCATGATTCACATAGCAAAGTCAGTTTGATAGATTGTAAAAATTTAACAGTTGAGACTTTTTCTCTTAACCATCCAAAAGTAAACTTTTCCTTAATCATGAGGTATTTAAATATGAATTTAAGGGGCACTGATTTATGGCTTCAACCCCGGCAATCTAAGACTGCCACCCAGGTCTCATTATCTGCCGTGAGAAGATTTGCAGGGGCCAGAACTAAGCGTGACATGAGACTGGGCTACTGTCTGTTAAGATAGCAAACATGAACTTTTAGACAATGTTTCTATGCATATACCAAGGGGCGAGTGTTACTTAATTTCTTCAACCTAAACAAGCAGACAAATGCCATAATTTTCTAAATATCCCCAATTGTTCTAGTCTGAATAAAGTATCCCAGCAGTACAAGAATTTTCGGATTTCTGATGCAGGGATGATGTGGTGACTGAGATTGATTTGGATCCATTTCTGTGTTTTGTGCCTTGATATCAATTTAACCATGTCATGTCAATTTACCTATAATATTTTTGTTAAAAAAAGGCATTTGATTTATTTGAACCATAGGCGAAATCAATCCACTTTGTCATTACTATTATTAAAACATCAGCTAAGGTAAATATTTATATACCATTATTATTATTACACAACAAGTACATGTACATATTATTTATCCTCAAAACTGTAACAGCTATTCAGTTTCTTTAGTCAACTATTTGAACTAAGTTGAATAAAATACAACAATTACTACTCCCTTGTCATCCACGTGGTATGAAACACCTGTTAATTCATCATCATTCACTTGATGGCCTTTTAATGAATTTATAACAGGCATAATTAGTGGTAACACCCTTCAGATTACCTGACAAAGGTTCCCATTTGGCATTTCTCATGTCTGGGGTAATTACTCAACCTTATAAATTGATGTCTGTTATATGTAAGGTAATTTGCATGTAGAAGTGCAACAAGGGAGGAATTATCATGTAAGTTAAGAAAACCCATTGATCGAAGGATTAGCTGATAATACATTGATTTACTTACCCAGATGGAATACACTCACAGCCTGTCGTAAAGTGCCTGTGTAAAAAATCAAAAGTTTAACTGATAATACTTTGATAGACTGCTTAATGTTGTCAAAATACATTATTTCTTTTAACAACAGAGGATATCATGAAAATAGTTGTCATGTGTGCTATCTCGCTGACCAATGAGACTTTATGCAGATGTGACCAACCCAAAACAAAGTTATATGATCAGTTGAAAAACTATCACGTTATAATATCCTGAATTGCAATATATATTTTAATCATTAGATTGTAAAAAGATCACATTTATTTTTCAGCCACAGATCTTTGGGATATTGTTCCTTTATGTGGATGTTGATGGATAAATAATTAGATTCCTTGAACCAAGTTTCTGTGTATTCATATAACAGTTGTCTGTTGTAAGTTTTGTTATGTCCATTTTGTTTTATTCATTTATTGTAGTACTGAACAGAATCATTCCACTTGATTTATGTTGGATACTCTTTGATGTGAGACAGACAACACTAGTCATTGCTTTCACAATGCCATTCAGAAAGTGGAAGTCACGGTGGCTGAGTTTTTAGGCATCGGATTTTGTGTGCTGGCGATTCGGTGCCTGACTCTGAGGGTGTGGGTTCGAATCCCAGATGGGACTCAACCCAACAAAAGTACTAGAATCTGTACTTTACTAAGAAAGTGTAATTCCAAATATAACATAAGTTACCTTTTCATTGTAGAGGTGTACATATAAAATATGATTCACTTAGGCAGTTTATAAAATGCGTACAGTCATTTTTTACAAATTCACTATAAAAAACACACAGATCAACTAACTTTTTGTTATTAAAGAACCACTAAACTTTGTTTTTTGTTACTCTTTTAACCATTACATATGAAAGATTTGTGGTTAGTCTTATGCGGAACACCAAATTTATTCTTTAAAAACTTGTGGTTATTTAATACCGAGCGATTAAAAGTTGCCAAAAAGTCGCCTGCTTCCCTCTCGCCCGCCAACGAAACCACAGACAGGTTACGTAACTCTGTCGCCAGAGCACTGGAGTGACGTCATATGAGGAACGATTTTCAGTTAGTTGTATAGAAAATGTGTAGCACGCTCATCATTTTGATGATTTCTCGACATCAACGAATTTACATGCCGAATCGTTGCTTTGTCGCCAATTGCTCCTAGGGTCGGGCGATGGTGTCCCCATGCACAGATTTCCACAGGACCCCGCAGTTCGTGCTAAATGGGTTATGTTTGTGAGAGCTAAGCGGCGTTGTGGAAGCCTGAAACGATATCTTACTTGTGTTCAGATCGCTTCACGGAAGTTAAAGAATCAAAACTACTTACTAGTTGTAGTAAAATATGCATATGATTGATGACCATAAAGATTTTCTATGACACAACTTGTAACATAACGATTTCTTCCTCGAAGTGAGGTTGTGGTCGAAGTAACAATAATATTGTAAGTAGTATTATATTGACACCCACCTCGCTGCCACGAGAAATTGTTATGTTATACGCTTTGTCATGCAAAATCCTATTGGCCATCAATAAAATATATATTTTACTACCAGTAGAAAGTAGTTTTGATTTTGTAACTCTCGGTGGAAACAAACCTAAATACCATTTATCCTCAGACTGGCGGATGTTCCCCGACAGGGCCGCCATTTTAAAAATAAAAATCTGTTAGAATTAAGGAGATTATGGTTTGTTTTATCAAGTTAGATAATCAAGACTACTTTCTACTCAGTAGTTAAATATGTATTGGAATCATAACCAAACGGATTTTGCATGACACAACTTATAACATAACGATTTCTTCCACGGAAGCGAGGTGGGGGTCGAAGTCACAATAGTGCGATAAATTTCTTGCTACATTCCCATGGTTAATGTCCACTCACCAGTATGTAGATACTAGTCAATGTGCGTCTTTATATTTGGTGTTATAATCCTAATTAGTTTATTATCATACTTGTATGCATTTTGAAACTAAATAAAAAGCAGACGATCTGCTGATACTTATAGTGAATTTATAACAGAACTGTAATATCTAGACATTTTATAGTTTGCCAATGTGAATCATAATTCGCACACACACCCTAGTGCATGTTGTCTGTCTCATTACACTTCACGGCGAAAACAATGATTCTGTTGAATGCTACGACAAATGAATAAAAACAAAATGCAAATATTAAAATTAAAACAGATTAAAGTTATAGGAACAATATCAGGCCATTACCTTGTTCGAGGAATGTATCCATCAATATCCACAAAACTGTTCCAAATGATGTGTCTTTTAACAGTTTAATATACGAAAAAGTGATAAATCTTTTCAGGTATTGGTGTATAGTCTCATTGGTCACCCAAGATAGCACACCTGGCAACTAATTGCATAATGTCCGCCTTTCTTTAAAAACAGTAATTTAGTTAGCCAATAATGGGCAATCAATCAATGTATTGCCGGTTAATCCTTTGAAAGAAGGACGTTGTTTTTACGCAGACACCGACACGCCAGAGTGTATTCAGTATAGATTAGTAAATCTACATACATAAACACTACCCTTTGACAATTCCGCTGTGTAAGATAAAAGTAATTAATCAATCAGCGTGTTATCGGTTAATCCTTTGATCGATGTTTATAATGTTGAATATTTACTCCAGACACAAGAAATGCCAAATGGGAACCTTTGTCGGGTAATTTAAGTGTGTTACCACTAATTATACCTGTTATAAATTCATTAACTGACCATCAAGTGAATGATGACAAATAACATGTGTAGGTTTATACCACCTAACACGGGTTACAACAAGGGAGTATTAATTGCTGTATTGCATGTGAAAACTTATGGGCCGACACTGTTTTGAGAATACAAACAGATTTTTACATGACATGATTAAATATCGAGGTAAAAACACAGAAATGGGATCAATTTGGATCAGTCATTATACAAATAGGGCTTAACGACACCAATCGATTTTGACAGAATCGTCTAGGAAAACAAGTTGTAACTCGGAAACTAGGCAAAGCAGGAGACAAAATTAAATGACAGTAGATTGTGAGAACATATAGCTTTCATTTTCCACAACAATTGTCACGATTTCAGGTTTATACAAGCCTGTAAACAAGATAATTTAACCCCTAAAATGTAGATGAATTCTGCACAGGCCCTCCAAGCTTGTCCTCATATGACGTCACATAGTCGCGCCGCTCTGATTGGT